TTCTTTCTCTTTCTTTCTGTCTTTCTTTCTGTCTGTCTGTCTTTCTTTCTTTCTTTCTTTCTTTCTTTTCTTTCTTTCTTTCTTTCTTTTTCTTTCTTTCTTTCTCTCTTTCTTTCTCCTTCCTTCCTTCCTTTTTCTTTCTTTCTTTTTCTTTCTTTCTTTTTTGAGAAGGAGTCTCGCCCTTTTGCCCAGTGCTAGGATTACAGGAGTGAGCCACCATGCCCGGCTTCTATTTTATTTTATTTTATTTTACTTTATTTTTTGAGAAGGAGTCCTGCTCTGTCACCCAGGCTGGAGAGCAGTGACAAAATCTCAGCTCACTGCAACCTCCGCCTCCCGGGTTCAAACAGTTCTCCTGCCTCAGCCTCCCGAGTAGCTGGGATTACAGGCACTCGTCACCACGCCCGGCTAATTTTTGTATTTTTAGTAGTGGCAGGGTTTCACCATATTGGCCAGGTTGGTCTTGAACCCCTGACATCAGGTGATCTGCCTGCCTCGGCCTCCCAAACTGCTGAGATTACTGGCCTGAGCCACCGTGCCCCGCCCCTCACCATATCTTTCTTCATGTTAGTTGAAGATAGTATTTAAGCCACAAAGCAAAGCCACCTCTTGGAGATATCCCCTTTTCTGTTGGTTTCTCCCATATATACATAAGGTAAACATCTTAATCAACTTGGGGAGTTTTTCTCTATTTAACCTGCCTCTTGTTTCAGGAGAGGGCTCTAGCTTCCTCCCCTGTCCTGGGCACCGTGAAAAACTTCTCAGCAATAAAAAGGAGTGGACTCAGCCTAGAGCAGTGGCACAGGTCTATAATCCCAGCACTTTGAGAGGCCAAGGCGGGCAGACCACCTGAGGTCAAAAGCTGGAGACCAGGCTGCCCAACAGGGAGAAAATCCCATATCTAGTAAAAATACAAAAATTAGCTGGGTGTGGTGGCACACACTTGTAATCCCAGCTACTCTGGAGGCTGAGGCCTGAGAAAGGCTTGAACCCTGGAGGTGGAGGTTGTAGTAAGCAGAGGTCACATGACTGCACTCCAGCCTGGGCAGATAGTGAGACAGTGAATCTCTATCTCAAAAAAATAAATAAGAACAGACGAGGTGGCTCATGCCTGTAATCCCAGCACTTTGGGAAGCTAAGGTAAACAGATCACTCGAGGTCAGGAGTTAGAGGCCCGCATGGCCAACATGGTGAAACCCCGTCTCTACCAAAAAATGCAAAAAACTAGCCAGGCATTGCAGTGTGTACCTGTAATCCCAGCTGCTCAGGAGGCTGAGGCAGGAGAATGGCTCGAACCTGGGAGGTGGAGGTTGCAGTGATCGGAGATCGTGCCACTACACTCCAGCCTGGGCAACAAGAGCCAAACTCTGTCTCAGAATAAAGAAAAAAAGAAATAAAATTAACTAAAGTAATTAAGTTTTAGAACAGGGAAAACTGAGTCATAGTAACAGAAATCAGAACAGAAGTTGCCCGGGGGAAGAGGGTAGGAGATGACAGATAAGCAAAGGGGCTGCAGGGAACACCCTCAGGTCCTGGACATGCTTCACCTATGACAGATGAGTGCTCACATTTCTCAAGAGTCATGGCAGTGTGCAGTGGCTCATGCCTGAAATTCCAGCACTTTGGGAGGCCAAGGCGGGCAGGTCATTTGCAGTCAGGAGTTTGAACCAGCATGGTCAACATGGTGAAACCCTGTCTCTACTGAAAATACAAAATCCAGCAGAGTGTGGTGGGGCGTGCCTGTGCTCCAGCAATTTAGGAGGCTGAGGCAGGAGAATCACTTGAACCTGGGAGGCGGAGGTTGTGGTGAGCAGAGATCATACACTTTACTACAGCCAGGGGGACAGAGAGAGACTCTGTCAAAAAAAAAGAAGAAGAGTTATGAACTGTACACTTAAAATGCGTGCAAGCATTTTATGTGTAAGTCATGCCTCAAAGTTTAAAAGAATGAAGAAATGTTGTGGGGCATGATGGCTCATGTCTCCCAGCAATTTGGGAGGCTGAGGCGTGAGGTTCACCTGAAGTCAGGAGTTGAAGACCAGGCTGGCCAACCTGGTGAGATCTCCCCCTTCGACCCCTGTCTCTAACTAAAAATACAAAAAATTGCCGGGTGAGAAGGTTCATGCCTGTAATTGCACTTGGGGAGGCCAAGTTGGGCGGATAACGAGTTCAAGAGTTCAATACCAGCCTGGCCAACAACCCCATCTCTACTAAAAGACAAAAACTAGCTGGGCGTGGTGGCAGGCGCCTGTAATCGCAGCTACTTGGGCGGCAAGAGAATCGTTTGAACCCAGGAGGCGGAGGCTGCAGTGAGCGGAGATTGCGCCATTACACTCCAGCCTGGGTGACAGAGTAAGACTCTGTCTCAAAAAAATAAAGAAAGAAAGAAGAATGAAGAAATGTCATATCTGTATGTAACATAGCAGAGGAATTCCGTTTTTGTTTTTTACAATAAACAGTGCTCACAAGAGACCAGGAAAACCCAACATCTGCTTTGAGAGTACTGTTGGCAATTTTTCACACAGGTTGGATGAGCTTGTTATGGAATTTACAAAGGGATATGTGAATGGACTCTCGTGTGCCAGGCAGGCTGCATGAGAAGTGCATGACAGATATTACTTAGTACTTAAGGCCAGGCACCGTGGCTGATGCCTGTAATCCTAATGCTATGGGAGGCTGAGGTGGGTGGATTGCTTGAGCTCAGGAGTTTGAAACCAGCCTGGGCAACATGACCAAACCCCATCTCTATTCTTAAAAATTAAAAATTAAAATTAAAAAAAGGCTGGGCGAGGTGGCTCATGCTGGTAATCCCAGAACTTCAGGAGGCCAAGGTGGGTGGATTACCTGAGGTCAGGAGTTCAAGACCAGGCCAACACCCTGTCTCTACTAAAAACACAAAAATTAGCGAGGCATGGTGGCATGCACCTGTAATCTTAGCTACTCAAGAGGCTGAGGCAGAGAATCATTTGAACCTGGGAGGCAGAGGTTGCAGTGAGCCGAGGTCACGCCACCACACCCCAGCCTGGCGCCTGATGATGTAGTGAGACTTTGTCTCAAAAAAAAAAAAAAAGAATTTTAAAAACTCTTTATTTTATTTATTTATTTATTTATTTTAGAGACAGGTTTTCACCATGTTGGTCAGGCTGGTCTCAAACTCCTGACCTTGTGATCTGCCTGCCTCGGCCTCCCAAAGTGCTGGGATTACAGGCGTGAGCCATCACGCTCAGCCTAAAAATTTATGTAATTCTTTTAAGAAGGCTTTGAGGTCAGGAATTTGTTATTCCTATTTTACAGAAGAGGAAAGTAAGGCACAGAGAAGTTCAGTAGCTCAACGTAGCTCAGAAATGGGAGCCAGGGCCGGGTGCAGTGAGTGGCTCATGCCTATAATCCCAGCATTTTGGGAGGCCGAGGCGGGTGGATCATCTAAGGCCTGAAGTTCAAGACCAGCCCCTGGCCAACGTGGCGAAACCCCTTCTCTACTAAAAATACAAAAATTAGCCAGGCATGGCGGTGAGCACCTGTCGTCTCCCAGCTGCTTGGGAGGCTGAGGCAGCAGAATTGCCTGGACCCAGGAGGCAGAGGTTGCAATGAGTGGACATCACAACACTGCACTCCAGGCTGAGTGACAGAGCAAGACTCTGTCCCAAAGGAAAATAAAGGATTGGACTGGGCCCTTGA